CATACATACAACAGGTGAAGGGAGGTGAAAGTTGATTCAAGTAGAAGTAGAAGAAGGCAGCAGCATTGAGCGTTGGATAAGTATAAAAAGAATATCAACAACCACCGGAGAAGGGTTATTTGGAGAAAATTTCCGGTTTGGATTTTATAGCAGTCCAGTGCTCAGTTGTTTGGATGGACATATTCACTCACTCAGTGGTTTGGATATGTGGTTGTTGATAAGTTATGTTATGTGGAAGGTTGAAGGTTGCACGAAGTGCCGCAGAGCTGTAATCAGACGGGGGCCCACCCCGGAAAACTTAATTGGGTTCAACTACGAGGAAAAGCACGGTTCAACTTAACTCCTTGTTCAGCCTATTCAAGCCACACTCATCATTGCTGCCTGCTTTCAAAAAGGGCTTGTGTGATAGGAGAAAATAAATAACCTGGGAAGAGGGAGCAAAAAGTTTGTGTTTCTAGCGGGAATCAAGATACTGCTGCCAATGCAGAATTATTTACATATATCTAGTAGCCGCATCCGATCTATCTATCCATGCATGCAATGGCTTGATGTTTTTATTCGGGGGTATCTTTGGTAATAAGCAACAACGGTACAAATCACGAAGTTCCCACCGCCAGTGGAATAATCAAAATAGACCAAGAAGAACCCGCAGCTACTGTACAACATTTGATCTTCCGTTCAGGTTCAGGATCTGTTCCGCCTCATCGTGTCGCTGTCCCTGGCCACGGTAATGCTTTCGCCCGCGGAGAAACCAGTCAGCAAGGATGATGACCACGACAACGAAGTACACTGCTGAAACGTAGTTCATGTCTAGAGGGATGAGCGGATCAGCTGTCTGGACAGAGGGAGATAGTTGAAATATTCAAAACACAAACATCGCGGGAACGAGAATGAGAACTTACTGGAAGCCTTGACAGGGAAAATCGGCGGGAACGAGTACATCACCAACGTGAACACAGTCCATAGAAGGACAACGATGTTCGCACAGAGTCCAATATGTCCCAGCCAGAAGGGCCCATGCTTGATGTTATTCCGCCCGCGGAGGAGTAGCGCGGTGATCGGAATGGCATAGGAGATGTAGAGGAGAACAATGCACGCGGTCACCATGCTGTTAAAAGCCGTGGTGGATCCGAGATACAGCAATCCCAGCGCCGAGACAATGAAACAGCTGAACGTGTGCGCTGCCAGCGGAACGTCCAGCGTGGGGTGGATCTTGGAAAGATACTTGTGGAACGGGAGGCCACGGTCTCGAGCAAAGGACCAGCAGAGTCGAGACTGCCACGTATGCGAGGCGATCTGGCATCCGAAACCTGTGCAGAGGACCAGGGATTCCAGGGCGATGGCGCCGACCTTGCTGCGCAGTGCCTGGTGGAAGAGTTCGAGAATCGGCACCCCCGTCGGCGTGTCGAGGAGCCTCTGGAAGTCGCTAAGGCTGAAGAACATGGACATGCAATAGAACCAGGCGGTGGTGAAGCCGATGAAGACGGTGCCGCAGATGGCGATGGGGATGGATCGTTCCGGGTTCGCAACCTCTTCGGCCATGTGGGTGGCGGAGTCGAGGCAGGCGAAGACCCAGTTGGGATTCATGAGGCCGACGATGAAGGCAATGCCGTCGGATTTCCAGCCCGTGTTGTTGATAAAGGTTGCAAATACGAACTTGGCATCCTGGTGCGTAGGTGCCTTGGAAGGGACGGTGATGATGATGACGGTGAAGGAGATGAGGGAGAGGTAGAGGGTCGTTGTGGCGACCTTGGGGAGCAGCTTGCCAACGCAATTGAAGAGGAAGCACCAGAGATTGATGACTTGGTAGGCAACGACGATATGCCATGATTCGATCACGCTAAATGGGTTTTGGGGAAGTCTGGGGTTAGCTTGTGGCTCATTGAGATAGCGCATGCAGGTGATGGTTTTTTTTTTTTTTTTTTTTTTTTTTTTAATTTCTTTATTTTATTTTACTTCTTTATTTTTATTTTTATTTTTATTCTTTTTGGCGTTCGTTAAAGTGGGGGTTTGGAGCAAAATTATCGAATCCGGGGGAAAAAAAAAGTCTTACAAACCAGGGTGGCCAAGCTGCCACATTCCAACACCCGCAGCGGCCAAGCCCAGCGCAACACTGGCAGAGGTGAAGATACTTCCGGCCCATGCAAACCAGCCAGTCAAATACGAGGAAAAATTGGCATATTTGCGCGACGAGAGCTCGTTAGCCCAGAAATACTGCCCTCCCGCATTGGGCATGGAACTCGCCAACTCGGAGAGCGTGATGGCCACACAGCTGGAAACGAAGGCAATCCACGGGATGCCGTACATGACCAGCAGGGGCCCGCCGGACGGGATACCGGTAACCAAGGAGGCAGACATGCCGAACCACGAATTGGTCAGGGAGAAGCCAACGCCTAGCAGCGACAGCAGCGAGAACTTGCGCCTCATGTCCTGGCTGTAACCCATGGCGGCGAGCTTCATGGCATCTTCGTCAAGAGAGCTCTTGTCTCCGGGGTCGCTGACCGGAGATGACACGGTTTCGATCTTTTCAATGTCTTTGGACATGATGATTGTATGTGATTTACAGAGGCTTCAGTTCAGGCTTCTTTCTGGGCGTCGGAAATCTCGTTTGTAAAAGGGGCAATATCTTCTTTCACAGCAAATACTGGGGTCGTGTATTAAGTACAGTGATACGTTTTCCTCGAGTGGGATAATACGGTAACGCGGGCCTTCATGGGATGCAGATCCCCCCCCCACTCGGGCGATAAAGAGGTATTCCTTTTGCTTCGCTAAAAGGATGTATGTAGTGTTTGTATGTGTACCTTTGGGGGATATATTTCAGCGCATTGGGCAACAGGGGTTGGGGGTTGTTGTATGTCGCTTTCGGGCGTCACAGCAGTTACTGCAATGCAAATGAAAGAGAGTGATATCGGGTCACCACCACCACCATATTTGGATTGTGATCTCTGATTCTCTTTTGGGGTCGAAGAAAGAAAATATCCTCTATTGCTTCTGAAAGGAGTGTATCACAGGAGGGGGCAATATACGCTTAACTCAGCAGCTATATCGTCGTCACACGGGTCTCCTGAACCGCCGGGCAAATTACACAAGACGATAAAATTCGACAAATTTGGGGGGGGGGGGGGGGGGGGGGGAGGGAGGGAGGGAAGGGCAGCCTTTAAGTTATCGATAGCACCACAGGCCAGAAACCAACAGCCAAACAAACAGATGAACTGATGGATGACGGGGGTTAGGGATTTTCCACACGGGGCTGGAGGCAATCTCAGTCTCAATCAGGGTGGGACATGAAAAAGGGGGTGAGAAAGAGGAGAGAAAACAAGAGTGGGCACCAGGGCTGTTTTTATGGCCTGCAGTTTAGTAGTTTTTTTCCGACCAGACAGACGCAGGCGATTCAAAAAATTATTATTGTTTTTATTATTGTTTTTATTTTTATTTTTATTTTTATTTTTATTTTTATTTTTATTTTTATTTTCCTCCCCTCCACCCCATTCATTTTCCCTTTTTCCGTATTTTCTTTTTTAGGGTTTGTCGCAGCGATCTTTTTTGCACCGGCCCTCGATGAAAACTTTTTTCCTGGGGGTTGTGAGTGTGTGCCCCTACTTCCCAACTGCGCAGGAAGGGAAGTAGAGTTGCGTTGACCAGAAAGCTGGATTTTCATGGCTCCACACTTGGTCTCTGCAAACACGCAAAACTTCCCTCCCTGAACAGCGGACCCCTGAGGATTCTTCTGATTCAAAGAACCGGCTGGGATGGGATGGGATGGGATGGGATGGGGGGTTCGTTCTGTTAGAGTTAGCCGTTGCCCCGGCCGCCGCTCCGCCGCCACCCGCACGTGATCGCACAGAACGAGTTCCCGGTTACAAAATCAGAAAATCGAAGATAATCGAAGATAAAACGGAAACCCGCACGCACGTTTTGTTTTCACGAGGATATTTCCAGCGAATGGCAGACCGCAGTTGTCCCGCGGATTATTCAATTATTCCGGCCCAATCAGGCTTCCATCCTTTCGGTGGGAATATCTTTTTGGTTGAGAGAGCAGGAAGATCCAAGGGTACGTACTACGTGTAGGGGGAATCTGCGTCGGGCTATGCTCGTCTCCCTTTTTTTTTTTTTTTCTTTCTTTCTTTCTTTCTTTCTTTCTTTTTTTCCTTCACTTTTTCTTCTTCTTTTCTTTTTCTTCCCTTCGATTGCCGCAAATAGGCCGTTCCAATGAAATCCCATTAACAAATTACCTGTGTTTCGTGACAAATCATCGGTGACGTCGAACCAACTGAAAATCGCCTGACACCGGTTCCCCGTGGGTGTCTGGATTTACCCTTGGCCACCCGGGTAGTTACCTCGATCGAAGGAGCCTTTCAATAGGGTGCGGTGGCATTGGAAGTTCATCAGAAAACCCTATCTTCAACCTCGGTTACGGACAGGCGCAAAATTCTATCCCTGGGCCCTTTCGGGCGTGGCGCGAATAGAGGAACAAGCAAACTTAAGTTAAAAAATGGAACAAGCTAATTACGCCACTGACGCGGGTCGTCTCTTGTCTCATCATCCCAGAGGGAACAAATACTCTTTGCACCCCCTGCTCCGGTCCTGGAATAACCCGTTTCTCTAGAATTCTGCCTAGTTGTTGGTGCTCTGTGTGCGAACGTGCCTGATATTCGGGCCCCTTTTTAAGTTGAATGAACCCTGTGGGGCAAGCAGGTGAACGTGGTTGGAAATTGTCTCATTCGTGATTAGAAGAATGGTAGTGCGCTTCCACCCTTCGATCGCAGTTATTAATAATAAAACAATAATTTTTGTAGATTAAAATTAGAACTAAAATTAAATTCTTTTTATTATTATTATTATTATTATTTGTATTTTTAAATATATATATATTTATTTACCTTAATAAATTTAATTTATTTAATTTAATTTAATTTAATTTTATTTTTTACCTCTTCCTAACAATTAATTGTCTGCCCCGCCTGCACAGGGTCGACTCACTGCGGAGTTCTTCGGCCTCCTTATTCCACCCAACCAACAACACCTTCTTCATCTTTTGCCTTCCCTTTCTCTCTTCTCTGCCCACTGTCCTCGACCTCTCGGCCTCGTATCCTGGCCGGTGCCCGCTGCCCACCCCGTCCATCACCCTGATCTGGCGCGGCTGGCTTCGGCATAGCAGCGAACCCGCCTATCGGTCGGTTTGTGCATCTGTTGATCGGGAGGCTGTTGGTGCGATCTCCGCAAGAGCTGCATGAATCATTCGATTGGGGGTATGGTATCGCTCTTGGGGGTTCAAGGTTGAGCGGATTTCTAGAATAGAGAGAGAGAGAGAGAGAGAGAGAGAGAGAGAGAGAGAGTGCTACGGATAGGAGAGGACAGACACAACAATGCATAAGATGCAGCGTTGTTGTTAGATATAGCTACTGAGAGAGTAATAATATGAGAAAGAACAATTTCATCTCATGCCGTCCGTCGTCAGTCACTTGCTGGTGGGTATACCTGACGAACGATCCACGAGCTTGACCCCACGATCTTGAAAAGCCGGTGTAGACAGACAACCTCGTTTTGCAGTCAAACCGCACGCCTGAAGAATTCGCAACTTGCTCGTTCATCACATCAATCAATCATTCCTACCCATACAGGGTTGAGATGCAACTACGTGCTTCTGCGGCCATGCGATCGACACCGTATCCTAGCTGTAACTACATGGTCCTGTACAATCGAATGCACGGGCGAATTCCTCATCTTGATGCTCGCAGCCTGCTCCAGATGGGTTGTAAGATACACAAAATCAATCTCCACGGACACTGCCAAAGAAGGGAAGCTCCTCCAGATCTCCTCTCTCTCTCTCTCTCTCTCCGTGGAACTCCCAGCCTTAAATCCTCATACTACTTCGGCTTATAATGGATCCTGCCGAGGATAGCATCATGAAACTCATTGCCACGCTCTGTAGCGAGAAAACATAAACCTTCCCCCAGAATATTCAAGTTTGCAGAGGAATACTGGGGGCTTGTCTCAGAATGATCAGGAACTCTGTCAGTTGAGCACCGGAGAATAGCGTTGGATTGGCTGGCGATCTTAAAAAGACGTTTGGAAACATGATCCTCCAGGCATTTAACCCCAATTAATCCCCCTGCAGCTATCTGAAAAGGTAAATGTTAATTACCCTTTGGCTAGGTGGCCGGGCAGAGATTAGGGACATACTCTGTAAAGAGGGCGCTGCTGCAAGAGCAGTAAAAAGTCTTTCCAAGTCATGGGCCGCCACGTATATTATTGAAAGTCAAAAAGGCAGCGTGCGTGCTTCGTCACATTTTAAGCAAAAGATGCAGCAGGCACTTACTGTAGAAGCATGTTTGTTTGAGGCCGCACGCACCCTTTCCTTTCTTTACCAGATGAGTTGGTCCCGAGAAAGGTTCGGCAGCAAAAGTTTCGCCGCATTTCAATCGAAGGTGACAAACATTTGAGTGAATGGCGGGCATACATACATACATAATTGATTGATCATATCTGCGAATCCAGCACAACATGAAAAGGACGGGTCACGAATAGGGACTGTGATTTAAACACTCTTATAAAATAAAAATAATCAAAACAATAATTGAGAGGTATATGAAGTGTATTCGCTATCATGCCTTGGAATAAGCATGTAGTAAAATGCATCTGTAAACTAATATCGAAAGGGAGCAGCAAAACGCCGGTCCTGTCCGTTTATTTCTACGCCAGAGACAAAAATCCTAAGATATATATATATATATATATATATATATCGTTATTATCATCGCAACTCCAGCACTTTTGGGCAGGAAACAGAAAGGAGGGAATATGAGAAGTTAAAATGGGGTGGGCCAGGAAAAAATATATGTAAGAAATCCATTAGATGTATATATGAATGACATGATATCCTAACCAGCCAAAACCAGACCAAACCAGAAGCCTAAAGAAATCAATAACTTTTTGCTTTATCATTAGTTCGCTCTCTATTATCATCAGCCGCTCACTCTTCATCGTCAGTATCAACCGGATGAGGTGTGCCCTTGGGGGAGTTCAGCCTGGAAAATCATGACACAGTTAGATGATAGTCTAGTCACCAAGAGACAGAAAGGAAAAGATAACAAAACAGAGAAAAACGGGCCAACATACCACTCAATATGCCTCAAACGTCTCCGCACCTCACGATCCTTCATCTGCGCACGAGTCAACTTCTTCTTTTTCTTGGCCTTGAATTTCAACTCTCCGCCTGCATCCTCAGCTCCGGAGTTAGCAGCGGAGGCCACCGCGCTCGAGACAACGCTGCTTGCGACAGTGCTTGGAGCACGAGAGCTGTCCTCGAACCGGTCGAGAGAAAGGGATACATGACCTTTGTGCGTCATCCGCCCGTCCTCCACGTGCCACTGCTCGGGGCAGAGGGCACCGACGAACTCCTCGTTGTGGGAAATCATCACTACACCACCCTTGTAGTCGCGGATGGCAACGGCGAGACCGCCCAGCGAGTCACGGTCAAGGAAGTTAGTTGGTTCGTCGAGGACGAGCAGGTGTGGATTGTTCCACATGGCGCCGGCGAGGACGACTTTGACCTTCTGACCGCCTGAGAGGCCAGAGATTTGATTATGGTTTGCAATTTCTGGGTCGAGGCCGACGTCTTCAAAGTGTTTGGAGATCACTTTTGGTTCCAGCACGCGGTATCCAAGACCTTCGCGTGAGGCTTCGTGGTCATCGTATTCTTGAACGAGCTTTTGGAAGCCTTCCTTTAACAGTGTTTCGCGGGAGATAAATGTGTTGTATTTGGGAATCATCCCTATCCATTTACTAATACCTATGTTAGAACAGACAAATAACAAAAAGAGGTGGAGTGATTAGGGGATACTTACACTTCATATTGGAATGTCTTCTTATATTTCTGTCGACCAATCAAGGCTTCGATCCGACGTGGGCCCCTTCCATCGCCGATGTCAATGGGTTTCTCCATTTGCGCTCGATCTTCCTCAGTCAGAACTCTGGTCTGCTTCATCAACTCCTCTCGATCGTCGCCATTCTGATATCTCCACTGCAGATACTGGTTGGGAGTTTTCTCCATGTGCATTTCCACGTGCTCCAAGGCATGCTGTTTGATATACCCTATTCGAAGATTGGGGTGCTTTTCAACCTTGCCGTATTGAGGAATGAGCTCTCCGGTCAAGAGCTTGATGAAAGTTGATTTACCAGCGCCGTTGCCACCAATGATAGCTGTGCGAGATGAAAGCGTTAGGGAACAGTTCGCATCGACCAGAGAGGGCTTGGAATTGCCGGGATACGTGTAAGTAACGTTGGTCATGCGAAGGATGGCACGGGTCTGCGACTTCACACCGGTCAAGATACCCGGAGGAGGGAACTTGAACTGAACATTACTTGAGCTAAGGGTGTAGTAGCTGCTCGCTTCCGGCTTGACCTTGACAAACGCAGCAAGGTTACCCTTGTAGCAGACCAGCTTTTTCCCTTCATAGTGGTAGATATCGGTGCAGACTTCGTCTAAAAATCCAGAATCATGACTGACGATCAAACTAGTGACTTCTGTGTGCTGCTTCAGATAGTCCTGTAGCCATTTCACATTCGCTACATCCAAGTGATTTGTCGGTTCGTCGAGAAGGAGAACGTCAGCTCTCATAAGCATAGCTCGCGCCAGAGCCAGCTTCATTTTCCATCCACCGGAAAGTGACCCAACTTTTTGTTCCTGTCGCCCGCCAGGACCAGCTGTGAAACCAACTTCGTTCAAAACTTCAGAGATTCGTTCTTTGCCCGTTGCAGCTAATTCCGGGTCTTTGGAGACAAATTCCAGGATGCTCAGATCCGCATCTTCACCTTGGTTATGCTCCACGAAACATGTCTTCAAAACATCCTTGGGAGGAAATCCCTCGAGTTTGCCCTCCGCAATACTGCGCATGAGTGTGGATTTTCCCGCTCCGTTACGTCCGCAGAGTCCGTATCGGTGCCCCTTAAGGAGCCTCAGGTTTGTATGGGACAGAAGAAGCATGCCTCCATAGGCGAGGGAGAAATCAGCATTGACAATTTCAACCTCACCTGAGTCTTCTTGAACATTTACTCCGTATTTCCGTTTGTCCTCTTCCACGAAGTGAGCGTGAACTGCTGCGGCGATGGCATCCTCTTGTCCCTCGTTCACCAGTTGGCTGAGATATGACCTAACACAGAGTGGAATGCGGTCAAGAAGTCTCGAATTGACATCATCGCGAACCATTTCGGAAATATATGTCTTCGCGAGCGCCCAGAATGGTTCATCTTGTTTATTCACGAGCCCCCCGTGGATATTCACTTGATTCTCCAGAACTTTCAAGATTTCATCTGTTGATACTTGCGCCACAACACCGTTGGCCAAATTACTACTGTCATCGCCCATAGCCTTGTGAATGACATCCAAAGCCCTCGTTGCTAGCTCTCGAACTTCTGGCAAAGACGCCCTGTCCTTTACACTTTGCACACCTGGCTTTAATTTCGGCAGGAATGTTCTCGCTTCATTAGGGTCGTGCACAAGCTTTGTGAGATTCTCCACGACAACAACGGTCTGGCGAAGAACCTCCTGAGGGGTAGTGGGCGTGTTTAGGGATCGTTCCAGAAGAGGAGTAAGGAGAGCAAGCACAGGAGATGTAACAATCGCGACGAATGTGGTCTGAGATAGTGCCAGAATGGCCTTTTGTAACGTTTGTGCATCAGGGTTTTCCATGGCTTTAATCAGCAACGAAATTCTAGGAGCAACATCGTCATTGTAAAGTACGGTAGTCAAGGCAGTCATGGTTTTAACTGCTTGTTTCGAGACCTCGCTTTTCAGATCATGCATACCGGACTCGACAATAGGGATAAGTTCTTTCAAGCATCTGCCCAAGGAATCCCGGAGTAGGTCCTTCTGCAAACTTTCCTCCTTCGTATCCGAGCCCGCCTGAGTCTTCTCAGCTACCTTCTCCAGCAGTCGATAGGCTTCCACGGCACCTTGCCATTTCCCACTAGATTTCCTGAGATATGCTGAGAGTGCTGGGACAAGGGCAGTGACTAACGACTCGACCTTCAGGCAAGAAAACAGCGCATCCACTGCATACTTGGCGGACTCCCGCACCACAGCACCCTTATCAGCCAAGGCATCCAAGGCAAGAGAAAGCAGTCCTCCATCCTCGATCAAGAATACAACTTCACTGAGTGGCTGTTCTGGGGGGAATCTTTCGAAGAGAGCGCCCAGAATCAACATTGCACTTTCTCGTTTTGCTCCGCTTTTCTTATCCCCAGCCCCTTTCTTGATATCCTTCAACAGATTATATCCGTGTAGTCCGCGAAACCCGACAGACTGGATTAGGAGGTTGGTCAGGGCGTACGAAGCGTCCAGGGACTCTTGTGACCTTTCCGAGTTGAATATGGTGTTTATAAGCGATGCAACTTCTTCCTCTGTCGGGGGAACTGACGACGGCGTCTTTGGAATCATGACGGGTGTGGACGACATCTTGGGCGATTCTGATGGCAAAATATGGTGTGGCATAATTTAAGAATGAAGGTAAAGTGTCAAAGACAATGCCGAACAGAAAGAAGTTGCAAATAGACAGAGTGGAGATTTTGGTGTGATCAATAAACTAAGACGAGACTTGAAAAAAACACAGGAGAGAAGATCCCAGATGTCTATTTTGTAGGGACCTTCAACATCAGGAGTCTATAGAAGGCACTATGAACAGAAAAAATAAAGAAAAAGGGCATGAAGAAAAATAAGAAAAAAAAAAAAATAAGTGAAGCCTGAGCAAGGCGTAGTTAAACCTGGCTAAAGATAGGAAAAGCCAGAGCTGAGACGGTTATATTTTTTTGAAGTCGTGGCGGACACAATTTTGGGCTTAGTCAGCTGCGGATGAGACTCACGGAGGAATATTGATTAGTTAGCATAGTTGTGTGTAGTTAACTATTGGACCCTACCTAAGTTGGGAGAGAAAATTCATGACGCCGTGATTTCTTGACACAGGAATGGATTGAAATTGAATGAATGGCCTATTCTCTACATTTTAAAGATCGGTGCAATGAACAAGTTATGGCAAGTCATATTTATGTAGTTAATATCCAATTAACCTGTTGCTGTTCTGTAGTATCATCCGTATATACATATATATACATCACATCATTTCCAGGCACCCATCCAACAGACAGCTTTTATAGATAGTTATCTACACCCCGCCCGCTCTCTTTGCAAAATGCAGAGGATCCAACCCGCCAGACATGAACCCTGCACCACAAACTGTGCTCTCAAGAGCAACCCGTATGTGAACTATTGCCAACCGTAGCCTCTCTTTCGATCACGACCAGGTCATGTCAATATTTTTGTCGGAACAAAAAAAAAAAAGGAAAAAAAATTGGATGGTTACAATGAGGTTCCAAGGCAAATAATGCATTGGGTTTAGTCGGATTAGAAAGCTGTTAAAAGTCAGATCGTTAGTGGATGACTCCAGAAGTTGCTAAGACAGTTAGTCCTATTCAATCATGGAGGGATCAAATAATCATACAAGATTCAGTATTTCCTTCACCCATACTCTTGTTAGAAGAGCTGCCGCTGAGAATCGAGCCGACAATGCCGTCCATATACGAGGCTCCACTCCACTTCTGATGCGTAAGGACATCAACGCCGATTTCCTTCTCCCGTCTTTGGATAAGGTTGACGTAAGAAAGCATGCCATCGTCTTTGAATCCACGCGAGAGCTCGGTTGTCATAGTGGCGTTGGAGTGGAGGCCGGCAAGCGAGATAAGTTGGAGGACGAACCTATGGGGAACGGAGTGTTAATCTTCTCCTGAGCTCTTTTTTTTTATTTCTTTTTCTTTTTCTATTTATTTATTTCATTTCGTTCGGACAGAAAAACGATAAAACTCACCCATGCTTAGCGATATCCCAGATAAACGATTTGAGGCTGGCTTCGGAGAAGCCGTGACCCATCCAGTTGAATGAGGGACTGAGGTTATAAACCAGCTTCTTACCCGGGTATTTCACTCGGATATCTCCTGCAAACGATGCGGCCGTCTCCACACTCGGGTCACCGGTTTCAACCCAGAGTAAATCGGCGTAGGGTGCAAAATTGATCGCGCGCTTGGTTGCCGCTGCAATGCCGGCTCGGTAATGATAGAAACCCTCCCGGGTGCGGGGGATGTCCCAGGACCAGAACACGGGGGATTTGGTGTATTTGCCTGCAAGTGATCGTCGTTCATTGAGTGACAAGTCCCGATTTTCGCTGACTTGCTTCTTGTAAGCGTCGATGGATGACTGGGTGGCTCCTTCGGATTTAAGATGTTGCTCAACCGCTGAAACGATGTTAGATCCGCAACATGAACGATGGAGGGAAAATTGTATAGATGTAGATATATTTGTTTTACCTTCATCGAAAGTAACAAGCTTATGATTCTTTATCCACTGAGATTCAAATTTGTCGATCTCAGGCCCCGACGCTCCCTCAGACTCCAATTTCTGCAGTGTCTCTGCAAGCGGATCGGAGTTTTCAGTAACACCCAGGATGAACTCGTGGTCCCGGACATCGATAGTGCTGCTTAGAAGCTTTCCGCTCTCGGAGTCCGTTCTCGCAATGAGAAGTGTTTCGGTTCCCATAAGATCCCACTGGAATCTTGCGGCCACAAGCCTGTTGATGTGTTCCCCAATTGGAACGAGTACTTTGCCGGCAAGATGACCACATTTCTTCCCCCCATGCAGCTGGTCCTCGAAGTGGACGGCAGCAGCTCCATTTTCAGCAAAGAGTTTTGCTAGTTTCAGGACTGCTGTCAAGCCTCCGTGACTATATTAATGTTAGAATATTAACTAACTTCCTCTGACTGGTCCGAAACATACCCGGTATCACCATCTGCCACTATTGGTCGCATGAAATCAGTGTAAGGTGTATTTTTGCGTTCCTCTGGAGATAGCTTCCTTCTCGAGTCCCATTGTTTGCGGTCGTGCATTTGCTGGGCCTTAAAAAGTCTCTGGACCTGGTTTGGTACCGTGTTGTAGGGATAGTCACCAAAGTCAGGGGATACTTCGTTAGTCGTCGTCAGTAGCGATGAACAGGCCCATCCAGAAATATAAAGCACTTCTTGATTAGGAGCCTGTTGTGTCATTTGGACGGGATCAATTGCACCAACTGTAGGTCTGTTAGTGCTGCTACAACGCCTTACAAGAACTTGGAAGTGCTACGCACGGGTATGTACTGGTTTCCCAGTCTTTGCCCGCTCATTCAACAAGTTAAATAGTTTCCTGGCCATAATAGAGCTTGGATACGTCTGCTGCAACGATCCACGCTTGCTAACAACAGCCTCTGCAGAATATGGTCGCCTGATACCTTCGTAGCGGGGGGTGTTCCACCATTCTGTCACTGCTTTTACCTGTTCATTAAAGAGTGCATCTTCAGCAGACCCGGCCTTCTCAGCAGACGAGAGAAGCTGGAATAAATCGGAGGCGTGAGCTGTAGACACTGGTGGGGTGACTGGAGGGAGTGGTGACCCCATTCGTGAACAGCTGCAGGCGAAAGTTCTGACAGCGTGGTTAGGGAGAATGGAAGGGCGGGAGAGCGGGGGAAGCTGTCGAGGCAACCAGCGAGCAGGGTTGCGAATCATTGTCGGTGTGTAATACTGCCTTGTCCTGTTCTACCAGATTTCAGTAGTGTGGGAAATCGAGGAGTGGAGAGCCCGTGAGAGAGATCCTATATTCTGCGAGAGTCAGCAAGAGTCATGACGTCTTTTTGCTGATGATTGAATGCAGACAGAATTGAGTTTTGAAAGGAGTCCAATCCTCACAACACGTCAAATGAGATTAGATAACAATCCGCTTGGATCTACACACAGAGCAAACCTTCTGGGGGAAGAATGGTGATGGTTCGGTTAAAAATCAGAGGTTGGATAGTAACGTACGGAACCTACCGCCGCTGAATACGGCGGAATAAATATCCGGCAAAACAGCAAAAGAGAGGGGCAACACGATGATTTAATTTGAAGGTGCCAAAACGCAGATTCTCCCATACCACACATCCCCACACTATTGTTGTAAATCTGCCGCAGCAAGGAGGATCGAGCAGTGTATTATTAGTTGAGTGTTGAAGTCATAGATTGTTGTTGATATCAGTCCGCGTGGGAGGGCTTAACTTACCAGTTCGGCGCAAATTCCCTCGGCAAAACTAATCTGACCGCCGCAACGCCCTTTCGTCCGACCAAGACCAGACAGCCGCAACATGTAATTTTTTTTCTTTCTTCTAGACTAGGCGGAAAACATCTTGCACCCATGGTGTGCTAGTAAACAATTATTTTCAACTAAGAACTCTCCGACACTCTTTTCTTCCTCTCAGCTCCCATCTCCGCCTCACCTGCACTTCACACCGTATACCTCCCTCGTTGATCTATCACTTGGAGTCCACCAGCAACAATGGCATTGGCAAGCAGAGCTACAAGACAGGCGCTGAAGGCATCTCAGGTATGTTGGACCGTGTATTGGAAGTGCAAATTGTAGTATTTCTATCCATTCGTTTTACTAACTTCTACCAGTCTGCCGCTTGGTCTTTCTCCTCTTCCCGGTTCTACTCGACTGCGGAATCTGACCTGAAGACAGTTTTCGAGAAGGCCATACCAGCCAAGAAAGAGCTCTTCCAGGAGGTCAAGAAGCGTGGTGAAGACGTCATTGGTGAAGTGACCGTTGCCAGCACCATTGGAGGAATGAGAGGCCTCAAGTCTATGGTCTGGGAGGGCTCTGTCCTGGATGCCAACGAGGGTATCCGTTTCCACGGCAAGACCATCAAGGATTGCCAGAAGGAGCTTCCAAAGGGCACCTCTGGAACAGAAATGCTCCCCGAAGCCATGTTCTGGTTCTTGCTCACCGGCCAAGTTCCCACCACCCCACAGGTCCGGGCTCTCTCCTCGGAATTGGCCCAGAAATCCCACCTCCCCAGACACATCCTGGACCTTTTCAAGTCGTTCCCCAAGGATATGCATCCAATGACCCAATTGTCCGTAGCCGTTGCTGCCTTGAACACTGAATCCAAGTTCGCTAAGGCCTATGCAGATGGCCTCAGCAAGGCCAGCTATTGGGAGCCTACTTTTGACGACAGCATCTCCCTCCTCGCCAAGATCCCCCGCATCGCAGCGTTGGTATTCCGCCCCGACGAGATCGAGAAAGTAGGCACCCAGGAACTCGACCCAACTCAGGATTGGGCATACAACTTTGCAGAGCTCCTCGGAAAGGGTAGCAAGGTCAACGAGAGCTTCCACGACCTTCTCAGACTCTATCTCGCCCTCCATGGTGATCACGAGGGAGGAAACGTGTCCGCCCATGCCACTCACCTTGTCGGAAGTGCTTTGAGCGACCCCTACCTCAGCTACAGCGCTGGTCTCCTCGGCCTTGCTGGCCCTCTCCATGGCCTTGCTGCTCAGGAAGTTCTCCGCTGGATTTTGAAGATGCAGTCCACGATCGGAAACAAGTTCACCGACGCCGACGTCAAGAACTACCTCTGGTCCACCCTCAAGTCCGGCCAGGTCGTCCCTGGCTACGGACATGGTGTCCTACGCAAGCCTGATCCTCGCTTCGAGGCTCTGATGGACTTCGCTAGCCGGAGACCTGAAATCCAAGCCAACCCGGTTTTCCAGCTGGTCAAGAAGAACTCCGAAATCGCCCCTGGCGTGCTTGCTGAACACGGAAAGGTAAATACTCCATCCTACAACTCAATGATATATCCAGACACATCAAAACTAACTCCAAACTCTCCACAAAAAGACCAAGAATCCCCATCCCAACGTGGACGCTGCATCGGGAGTTCTCTTCTACCACTACGGTTTCAGGAAACCTCTCTACTACACCGTTACCTTCGGAGTCAGCCGTGCCATTGGCCCACTCGCCCAGCTCATCTGGAGCCGTGCTCTGGGTCTCCCTATCGAGCGCCCCAAGAGCGTCAACCTCCAGGGCCTCCTTGATCTTTCCAGGAAATAGATGTGTACCAGTCAGTATACGTGAAAGGGGAGAGCGGTGAAAATTTGTCGAAGGCATCATGTCTATGATCCGCTTGGGGGGTTGAGGGGGAGGAGAGGAAGAGATTTTTTTTCTCACCTCTTACATATTAAAGAAAGTCGGGGAAGATCGTAGAAATAGCCGAGACTGACATATTTTCAGCTTGTTTGTGTGTGTATTGTATTATATGTTCAATAAGTAGAAAACCCCATATGTTCGAGAATTTAATATCATTTGTTTTCGGTCTCATATATATATTTGTTTCTTTATGGCAGAGATTTGACCTTCGGGCACCAGTGATGAGGATAATGCAACAAGTAGTAAAACACTTCAAGTTGGATAAAGAATGTCTATTTCATTTGCCATTTATCTCCTACTGTCAACCATCTGTTCTATCTCAACTGGAAGAAGAATTGAGTTCATATCCCAGTGTATGTACAGTACAGCATACAAAGAAATGACTTCGTCGTTCTACCTCTGACCCCTCCTGGCGTAGCTGCTTGATCTTGGAGACCCCACGAACGTAATCATGTCTAGGTTTTACATCATCTTGACAATAGCTATTGATGTCATAATCACTTTCTAAGTACGAAAGGTCTGTAACATACAACAATATAAATGATAGTGGGTATAAACTGCAGTATACGATCGGGTTTGCTCATCCAAACCAACCACCCTCGACGATACGGGTGCTGTGCAGCGCCTGGCTCAAAATCGAACTGGAACAAAACATGACGTCCCTACTAGCCTAAATGGACATCAAGTCATGCCTTTCCCCGTTCATCCCCCACATCCAATCATTAAACAGTCGGCATCCTCCCAACAGCCGTATCGGAGTGCGGTATATGACACTCCAGAATGTTGTGAGCAAATCTTTGTTCACGCCACCGAACCGTACCGTTATACTGCTGATTTCTTCCCCCCACGCATCCTCAGCGTTGTGTTTAACAAGCACAAAGTCCCACGCGGGTCCTGGGATCTCATTTTCAGCATTTGCGCACGCCTGCTCTGCACTGAGAAAGCTAACCCTAACCATGGCGCTAAGCTTATCTGTTTCCTCCGAGGGTTAAAATTTCACAAAAGCACCTGCCTGTATATAAAATAAGTTGATTTCACGAGTCACAAATAGCTCCTTTGGCTCTGTCACTGCTCTGGAGTTGACAAATATCCCCGTGTCATGAATTGACAATCAGGCAAAATCTACACAAAAGTGAGAAACGTAGGAGCCGCCCCCAAAGCTAGGAATGAAGGTGCCATTTCCCGTAATTCTCCCATCCTCTCCGACTTTGATAGATGGATTCTGTCGACTATCGTTGAGGTCTGTCAAATCGAGGAGCACCACATTGGCTTTTGGACTCCTCACTTGTCGCAGAGGCAGCCCGGGGAAAGGTGAAAATGATAGAGCGTCGTATGCGCAGTCAGTCACCGTCATTTCCGCATGAATTCCATTGATGAGAGAGACAAGGCAAAATATCCTGGACTGGTTTCCACCGAGTCAAGGATATACGGCATCGCCCGCACGGCTTTTGAAAATTTGCCACTGTTCAAAATCGGGGCAATATTGTGGGAACAGAGGAAAGTGCTTTAGGGAGGGATTGCCACCCGTGCCTAAATCGCGCATGTGAGAGAAGCCCGTGGCATTGCTGCCATCGGTGGAGAATCCCGCTTGTTCTGGCCATCGACATCAGCAACGGCTTTCACCATGCCATAGGGTAGGGTGGCCCCCGCGAAGACATTTCCTCCATTGCGCGAGCCAATGAGTTGATCAATGTATCCAAGTACGTTGATCAGTGGTTCTTGAGAGCGTTGCGCATACAGTGGGGCCAAAAAAAAAATTAATAGACAAGCGATGCAGATATAGAGATAAAGCAGAGCTTCAACTCTAAAGGGGCTTGGATAGATACCCAAGCCGCGAATTCAGATCTAGCCAGAACATCGAGCAACAAAGAATAAATGAAAAGCAGCGCTCATATTAGACATATCGGAGGATACAAGCCAGACCTTCAGGATATATTTGCTTGAAGAAAAGAGTGCACCAAATGCACCGACCAATTTAACCACACTGAGGTAATCGCAGCTGGGCCAGTGCTCCATGGGTCACACTGATTTTGGCAGATCTTGTATGTCGATGACTTTGAGCATCGGATTGTAAGAACCGGATTGGCCTATAGCCACACGAAGTGACCATAATTTTCGTACGTACATACCCACGTACTGTGATTCGTGAAGCTTGTCTATCGATGAATTTGAGCATCGGATTGTGCAATCAGAAGTTTCGCACGCTCGTATCCATGTACTGTGCAACAGGAAGCAGAAATCCTTGATTAAGATAAGATATAGAGCATGCAAGAGAAGTTGGCTTTTTTTGTTTCAGTTCTCTCGATCATATCTATTCAGGCTGGATATGATGGATGAAGGTTGGTAAAATGTAGAATGTTGGGGACTGGATCAGCCGCGATTAGTCATCCAATGTCGGAAATCGACTTGAAAAGTTCAATCTCTATCCCCACGCAACTGACCATCATTTGTTATATGATCACATTGATCTGAATTTAGCACCAGTTGTTTATTCGACCTTGCACTTTAGCCCCTGTTAGATGCCGTGCTGTTGCCTTACGGTGGAGTCCGCCATGCAACGTCTTCGATGGCCAGAGTCTTCGTGAGCAGCAACCCCTTTTGGAAGCTTGCTTGTGAAAATATGAAAACCAACGGAAAAAGTGGGTAAAGGTACAGAAAACCTGACGCCACACGAACCCTTTGAGGAAGGAAGAGAGAATGTGATACAGAGCGATATTAGAAATATTTTCTTGGACAGACTGCTGCCATCCTGTGCCATCCACGGTCGGCTGCTCGAGTGTCGAAGGCACTCTTATTAATCATGGGTAGCCTGAAGGCGACCCATGTACCGTACAATTTTGAACGTGAAATTCTTTTCGGAAACTGGGCTCTCTGACGGCCAAAAGGCTTATCCAACTATGATATAACATTGGTGGAAACTTGGATGGAAAGGATAGGGACATGGGAGCCAGCAATATGCCGATTAGGTATAATCTTTATTACAAGACGTCTGCTCCACCGGCCCACCGGAATATATAAACATGAGGGCGCCTTGCTCCTCTAAGCCCTTAGAGGATCAAGAAGAATTACTCCTCTAAGCCCTTAGTGGATCATGAAGAATTACTCCTCACAGTTCATACACACGAAACCATGACCATGGCTACCACATCTAGTATTATTGATAACTCTTCTTCCTTGATCAAACTTATTGATACAATCGATTCTCTCCCTACAAGTCCACCGTCACTGTACATCGATCTCGGAGGCATCAGCCCTTCTCGTGAAGGTAGCATTTCTATCCTTCAACTGTTCAACCATCCAAAAAACCATTTGTACCTCATTGACATCCATGTTCTTGGCCGCGAAGCTTTCACAACAGCCGCAACAAATGGCAAGTCGCTTAGAACTATCTTAGAATCCCCAGATGTGCCCAAGGTCTTCTTTGATGTCCGAAACGACTCGAATGCGTTCTTTTTCCATTTTGATATTCGCCTACAAGGTGTTGAGGACATTCAGCTTATGGAAAATGCATCCAGACCAGGCTTTTTGTCCAGAAAGAGATTTGTTTCGGGCCTTGCAAGATGCGTAGAGCACGATGCACCAATTTCCCTCTCTGAGAAAAGGCTCTGGAAGGAACATAAGGAAAGAGGGGTACGACTGTTTAATCCCGATTGTGGTGGATCTTATGAAACATCCAACGCTCGACCATTGCCACAAGCTATTTCGGATTGTGGTGTCTATGATCTGACCTTTTTACCTCTCTTGCGAACGGTGTACTGGAGCAAACTTTCACCTGAGTGGAAGGCTTTGGTGGATGTTGCCACGAAAGAACGCGTGCGAGCGTCCCAGACCTTGACATACCAACGACAGACCAGGGATAAAGTCCTGAGCCCATGGCAGGTTCCCATCAGCGAGAAGGGCCGCAACAGTTTCTTGGGAGGAATCGATTTATTTGGTGCCTGGTAAGGCGGAAGTCTGTGATTGAAAGGCAATGGTTTCGGATCGAGAGCGAGAAGCATTCTTGTTACACTGCTGAATCTTCCGAACCTGGTCCATTTTATTAGATGCAATCTGGTAAAGTGTTTTACTTGATGTGATTACGTTTCCGGGTTTGCATTTCCCCCTATTGTCGCGATGAACTACCCCTTTTAGATGCAGTGAATTCTTGAATTAGCCATGTCGATAAAGCCTTTGTAAGTTTGGATAGAATTGCAATTGGAAAACAACCTTTGGAACTCTGTACATTTTGCAATCGCTCAAGGGTTAAGGGACGCGCCTGTCGCTTCGCCTCGAAAACTTGCGAATTTTGCGGAGGTGCTTTAATACATTTCCTCTGGCCCACCAAATTATCGTTCTCGGAAAGCAAATGGCAACCTGGTATTGGGCAACCACTGAGAGCAAGTCCCTGATTTTTTTCTTCTTCCGATAGTCAAAGTTGTCGGATACGTGTGCGAAGTCAACCCACTTGAGCTTATCATGGTATCTTGGATATCTAGAGTTGATATGGTGTGTAACCATGTCCCCAAGCTATGTTTGTCTATCTTTGGTTATTTATATGGTTCCAGGTACCATTCTCTAGATGTTGAGAGTCTGATGCCTCTACTGCTGCATTGATATCAATGAAGAGAGCAACATTGAGCTTGAAGGGAGTTTGTCGCTGGCATCTGCGTCATCACACGAATTACCTCGCTCCAATGCACCTTGTACTCGGAAGGAATTTGTTTTTCGTTCCTTAATTTTTATCAAGGTTTTCCGTGTGGTCTTTATATTTCAAGGCTGGTTGGTGGTCGCCGGCTAAAAATTTGAACCATCGGAAACCGAGCGGATGATTTCCGACTTGATTTCAGGTATCTAGAGAATTTTCCATGGTAAATCCCCTAATTATCAAATTCTTTGATAGTGGTTACTAGTTAGAGCCCCCAAACAGCCCTCTATCCCATGTTATTATGTTTTCGGGCTTCGTATAGGTCTCTTTTCGAATCCAACGTACTAGAGACTCATATGGGCGGTGTAGGTCCGGGATTATTGAAAGCCCAGCTACTTTAAAGTTGAGAGTCTGAGATATATATATATCTAAATAAAACCTATCTAGACAACGCCTGTCTCGTGGTCCTGATGTTGATTTCTGGGGCGGATTTAAGATAGGAAAGTAAACTTTTGTAAGTTATCTAAATGCCTATCACCCTTCAGCAAGGAACTAATCTAAATGCAGCAGCCTTTGCCAGAGCATACATGAAAATGGGTTGGAAGGGCGAACAAGATTAAACCTAATTGAAAAAGAAAAAGAAAAAACCCATCAAATTCATGAAAAGAAAAAATAAAATAAAATAAACTTGTTAACAACGAAAGACAGACTGCACAATTAACTACTCTTGTTCCGTAGCACTTTATAGCTTTACCTGCCCGCTCACCAAGTTGTCCCATTCCCTCCGCCCGAATTCCACATACAGATCACTCTGAGGAAGTAACCACAAGAATTGATCATTCCTCCCATTCGCAGCCTTCGTTCCGACCTTATCTGGATCAATGCCTTCATCTCTCAGCTGCACTTTATTTTGCTTATGGTTGTGAATATGGTCCGAAGCTTGAACTAGTCGTATAAACACCGGAACAGCATACTTGGGTAGTCTTTCGCGGGCATGACGAGCAAAGCCAGCAAAGTCAAACCTGGTCTGGTGGTTTGGATCAATGAGCAGAGCCGCACAGCCAGCACGACCTTCATGGGAGGGTACGCTTACGCCGTATACGTTAGCTTCGAGGACACCGGGATATTCACCTAGAACGACGGCTACTTCTGCCGTGGACACGTTCTCGGATTTCCAGCGGAATGTGTCTCCGAGTCGGTCAAGGAAATGCCAATGGCCGTCATCTGTGCGGCGGAGAGCGTCCCCGGTTCGGTAATACAAATCTCCCTTTTTGAAAACGTCGCGGACGAACTTTTTCGCGGTGGCGTTGGGATTCTTCCAGTAACCCTGAAAGGCAAGTTCATTAGGTATTGTTACGAGAATTTCACCTCCCTCGCTATACGGATTACGGACTGCGAAGCCCGTCTTTGGGTCACGATATATGTCTCCGGTTTCAGGGTCGAGGGCGACGGGGATATAGACGTTATGCATGAGGTAGCGGAAGATGGCGCCATGGTGTCCGACGCAGCTGGATTGATATGGACCACTGTCATAGTTGATGAGGGCCAATAGCCCTTCCGTGCTACTGAAGAACTCTGCAATATTTGGGATACCAAATCGCTCCCGGAATTTCTCCCAAACATCCGGTCTTAAGCCGTTTCCGTACATGCAGCGGACTTTATGACCACGATCCAGAGGTGAAGGTGGGGCAGCGAGCAGATATCTAGCTGTCTCCCCAACATAAACAAAGTATGTGGACTCGGAATCGTGAACATCTTTCCAGAAATTGCTCACACTGAACTTCTTGGCTGATGCAAGACCGACGCCCCTGAGTATGCAGGCCATAACGCAAACTGATGCTGTTCCGTGATACATTGGCATGCAAATATACCACCTGTCACCGTCATACCCCCCCTTATCACACAGATGCTTTTGAAATACTACGGTGTGCATCCGATCCATGGTAAATGCGCACCCCTTTGGCAGTCCTGTTGTGCCTGAAGTATAGAGAAGCATAGCGGGGAACCCGCCATCCATGTTACGAGCAAGATTTTTGTCTGTTATACTTGTCGCGAGCGAAGAAATGTGAGCTTTGAGAGAATCATCCAAGAAAATGGGCTGCATCTTAGCTTCGTTCTCAATCTCGTCCATCTGATCGTTAATCCGGGCCGTGCATTCCGGGTCGGTATCCACGAGGATGAACTCCGCTCCACTGAGATTGAGGCAGTGAATAAGCCCTTTCCCTGCGAGGTTATAGTTGATCATTGCGGGGCCGCAGCCGATCGACCAGAGTCCAAGCCATGCCATAACAAATTCTGGCGAATTCTGCAGGTAGAATGCTACCAGCTGGCCACGTTTCACGCCAATGGAAAGAAAATAATTTCCATACTGGCAGGCTATATCATGGGCTTGCTGGAAGGTATAAATACCATCCCTCGACCAGATACAAGTGGCGTCCGGGTACTTTTCGACCATGTTCTCAAAGAGGTACCACACGTTTAACTTGCCATCTGCCTCTATATGATGATTGAAGCGCAATTGTCAGGTCAAATAGTTACGCGAAATTGACACTATACACGGGAGAAAACTTACTAGCTCGGGCGACAATGCGGTCGCTGCGGTTATACCTAAGGACAGTTTCGATGTCCCTTCTGAGGTGGTATTTGGCATCCAGATAAGCACCCAGAGCACCGACTCCGGTGACCATGGCAGCAGCAGCAGCTATTCGAAGCAATGGATCAATCATGTGGAAACTTGTAAAGTAGAGGAAATGGATTACCTACCCAGAGCCATCTTGTTTGGATCGTATAATCGTCTCTCTTTGTTCAAACCCTAAATCGACACAGCGGAAAGCAACTCTCGTGCAATGAAGTTCCCACCCAAACGGCTTTCGTAAAATCGATTTCAGGACTGTTTACACCTAAAGAGAAAGCGAGGAACAATAGACGATGTAGGAAAGAAAATAATTGAAGTTGATATGAACCCTTCCCCTCCCTCCTCCCCACTCCCCCCTCCCCCCTCCCCCCAGACCCCAAAGTTACTTAGCTATGTCCCGGCTGTTCTCCCCCATTGACCTCCCCGCCAAATCCTGATATCCTCGGCATCTTGAGAGGGACCGTATTGGTGGGAGCGGAGGGTTGCCATCTCCACCATCGGGCTGGAGAACATGGCATTTGCCTAGGTAAACTCCTTTGGCCGAAGGGTCTTAGTTGCTAGGAACTTGGCAGTGTCTACTCCAGCAACTAGTTAGTTGGTTAGTTAGTTAACCGTAGAATCCGCCCACTTGTGTATAATCCACCACGCTCAAAGTCAAATGCTCTAATATTCCACGAATTCTCATAAGCCTGCCATTCTTCTATACATGCTTGTAGGCCTGCCTGTAATACCGCTGCTGCAGCCTTTTTGGCCTGAATTTCAGGCTCTCTAGCCTGGTTTCTAGCCTCCAAAAGCAGCAGCCAGCTGCCTGCTGAGCGTTTAAGCCTCCGATTGCCTTTCTAACCTTTGGAAAGAAGGTCTTCAAGCTTCGGGCCAATATTTCATCAAGCTTCAGCGCCTTTTATATACGCTGAGGGTTTTGAGAGATAGTAAGTATAGCGTCTGCCATACTGAGTTCGATGAAATTCGTATATGTAGAGGTTCAGAGCTGTTGAATTAAAACCTGTGAGAATTCTAATGCCGTAAGAGTTCAAGACATCAACTTTATTTCTTCCTTATTTTCATTTGATTTAGAGTCTTTGAATGTACCTCTGAATGGGTCTGAAAAAAACTTCGTTCTTTCACTGAAGCTGAATCACCTAGATACCTTAGTTTTCTCACTAGAAGTCTAATAGGAGACCTTCATGGGTGAAAACACAGATAAATTGAATAATTGCAGCATATAGGAAATGTGCTGATAGAAAGATCACATGCATCTTTATTTGAATGACCAAAAGTCATAGTGAATCGAGTTTCAGGCAAGAAGGTCTCTTTAAGTCCAGTCAATTACTATATTCTTATTCATCTTCATGGTTCAGGAGGCGATTTCTCCAAGGTATGTGTGTGAAGGAGAATGAGCTCTGGAATCTTCATTCAACATCCATTCAACATCCATTCAACACCCATTAAACTAGGAATTCTTCCTGTCCAGGGCTTAATCTTTGCCGAAAGACATGATTGGCAGGCTTGGTTGTTGAACCAGTATTTGATCTCAGAGATTGCTGCTAGGGATGTTAAATGCTGTTGCCGCTGCAGGTACGGAGGAACAAAGGCCATTCCCTAGGCTGTTATCGGCTAACTGGATAGATTCTTCGCGTTGAGCGGATTCTAGGGGTGGCATCTTATGATACCTGGGGAAGTGGAGCTATCTGGAGCTGCTAACTTGCTTGGCCGGCTATGAGTTCTACTACAAAACGAATCGAGAGTGGAGATGTTCTATTAGTGTTGATCAAGTGGAGTTTGGGAAGATTTTGAGAATCCGGAGACGGGCCGAAGCTGTCCTGGGGAAGCCTGGGTCACATGACTAGCCCCCTTTCTGGTTCAGAATACATTCTATTATATGAATCGCTTTGAAAAGCTTGTTGGAGAGTCCATGGAATAAATATTTAACTAGGTTTAATAAATATTTAACTAGGTTTAATAAATATTTAACTAAGTTTCAATGTGATAGATCGGTGAGCAGTGTTAACTAACTAACCCTCGCCTGGTCATGTCGTTGTCATGTTTGGTTCATAAAGGTCACGCGAGGCAGCAAGCGGAGGTAACAATGCAAGTCTACAAGTCTAGCAGATTGTATACTCTGTTTTCTCTTCATCCCGGCCGCCGCTGGGACCCCAGCGGTTAAGCATACGTTCTCCATCCCCAGCGTTGGTCCCGCTCTTCCCCGTTGCTAACCCCATCCAACATGTTGACAACGTACTTCCCAATGATGGGGAGGAATTTCCAGCTGTGAAATGAGCCCCCAACAGCTAGATAGAGGTTCGGTAGCTTAGGGTGAGGGTGTCGTGCAATCAATTGGTCCTTGTCAGGCCGCACAGAATCCCAGCACACCTTCCAGGTAGCTTGTCTCCCATTTTCAAGCATCTGAGGCAATTTCATTCTGATCTGCTTCAGGGCTTTTTCTTTGACATCTTTAGGAACAAAGGACAGATCCTGGCTATGGGGAGCAGAGATCGTATGCCCTGTCTCTGTGACCACGGCATTCGAGAAAGCAGAAGTGTCAAACTTCACTGTTCTCGACTTCGTGGGCGGAAGCAATTGACCTATACCATGTTAATGGGTTGTAACCAGCGCAGTCTCAAGGGGGAGGCAGGGTTGATTTCAGAATACCTTCAGTGCCATACACGACAATAGGGAGCCGGTTATACTTCTTCACCTCATCCTCTGATAGTTTAAAATAGGCAATCGGGATACCCTCTGCTTTTATTTGTGACTCAACCCTCTCTGCCTCGGAAAAACCCAATTCATCCTCAAGCGGCGACATCAACTGGCTCGTCCAGGCCCCAGTGGCTAGCAATATTCTCTTGGCCCTATAAACTCTCCCGTTCTTCGTAAAAAGGCATTCAATTCCATCTTTCCCCGGAACAAGTCGACGAACATCTCCCATCTCGTACTTGACTCCCAACTTGACGGCTTCATCGAGCATGAGTTTCAATGGTCTCGATGCATCCACCCAGGCAGGAGCAGGGCTGGAGTACGCGGGCTCGAGACCCTGGCCTTTAACCACACTCAGCTCAGCGGGCCACTTATTTTCTATATCTTCCCATGAGAAATCCACCGTGATATCCTCCCTGCTACTAGCACGGAGAGAGTCCCGAATACGGGTTGACATGTCCTTGTACTTTTGGTCAAACACTAACCAGCCAGAGCGATTGTAGAGACCTGTCTCTTTAAACATGGGCCAACTCTCCCAGGCGTCCCTTGCTTCGTACGCCAATTCCATATAGAACGGATGGGCGTAATCTACTGCAACTATCTTGCTGGTGTCTGTTGAGGCCGCTCTTGCTGGAGGGTACGGGGCGACATCAATTATTGTGATTCTCGACGGGTCTGGATGCGATTTAGATAGATGATATGCCGTACTGACGCCAAATATGCCAGCGCCGATGATGAGAACGCTGCCGTCCATGCTGGGCGGGATGTAATGTGTCCTGTACCTTCCGCGACCTTTGATTTAGATTCCGTAGAGTTATGTGGAATCGGCACTGGAATACACAGGGTGAGGTCTTTTGTGAGTTGATGTTTTCCCTCCCTCTGCTTGCATAACTATCCCTCGGGACTAAACTCAGAATATTAATCAGTAGTTATCAAATATACTCATGGAGGGGATATCTGGCAACGGGATACGAAACATCCCTTTTATAATTCCTCTCACTGATTCTTTCGATCTTCCCTCTAAACTTGCTACTTCTTATTTCTGGCATGAGAAGCGCCTTGCTCCCAATCCTCATCTTCTTGCGTCAACGTTACAATCATACGATGACATCAGCGGCGGGGTGGGGCAGGAGTAGCGATGCTCATGGATCTCTGTGGAATTTGAAGGGGACAGATGATTCGTGAGAATCTATGGGGCGGAACCCTGCAGTCCATTTACTAGTGAATGGAGAATACATCCTGGAGCATAAATACGGTATGAAAAGAAGTCGACATGTCACATCATGATACCTGTTAACCGCTAGTTAACTAACTAACTAGATCGTGTGCATAGTTAGTCAGTCATTGGGGATCTCCGTCATCAAAAACAGAATAAAACAGATAAAATGCCGGAGAGCATGTTTGGAAATATGTAGTATTGTCTTATTTAACTAGTGCCCGCAATTTTAATTTGCGGGCCAATGAATCGTGAATGACCGCTTCATCCGTTCCGTCGAGCACCGAGACGGTTACATGTACTGTGCATATCCAGTATTTGTGTACAAGATGCTTAAAATGTGAGCTGCCTCCGTCATCGTGTGGTCGTGTTCTGTTGCCCTCATGATGTTGGCTGCTTGAAATCGTGGTTCATGATCAAGCAACACGATAGATTTCCACCGTGACTACGATGTCGTCACACATGAAGGGGATGTTATGATATCCTTGCGTTCAGGCCCAAGTTCGTTGTATGGGAGCACACAGACTACGGAGACGGGATGACGTCCGTCGAACGGGGATGGCAACCGATTACTTACAACTGGTTGGAGGCATCAAGGTTGTTACCACCAAACGGCTAAAGGGGGCCCTTGGGAACCTTGGGAAGTAAAAGACACATCAAGGGTCAACAGTTTTTAGGAGGGATATGATTGGTATCTTCATACTCACATATGCAAAGAATAGTTCTGTGGACTTATGCAGCTGTTATTAGACGTTCTGAGGATGCAGTGTGAGTAGAGCATTTACATGTCCGAAATTTATAGAATGGACTCTAAATGTTACCAGGAAGCAGTCATGTCCAGCTCATCAACACGGAGTATATCTAGAGAGTGCTTCAGGAGGAATCACTCTACCTGTATTTACATTAGAACTTCAAAGACTTGTGTGGGGATAGCCGGAGGAGGATAACATAAATGGATCTTGAATATGATCAAAGACTTTTCTTCTTGAATTCATCGAAGAGGTGCTTCAGATAATTCAGTTGCCCTCAGCATTGTGTATCTAAACCAGTTTGCGTATAGCATCACATAATGGACGGTTGCCATTGAGTGTGGCATCAAGGCATAAAAGTAAGTAAGATAAAAACTGAAAGCAAGAGTACGAGCTATTTGTTGACATGGGGCGGGCAGCTAACAACGCATATCCTCATTCGCCGGCAGCTCACCCATTGCTGTAGTAATGTAGCCACAAGGGGACTTCGTTATACCCGTACAGTAACTGATTGTGCGATCACCCGCTGCCGAGAATCGTAGCAGTCTGGTATGTTCAGTCTTTAAACGTCTGCTTTCCAATGAAGAATCTCATGGATGTTGTCCGGCAAAGCATTCTGATTTCTCGTCTCTGCCTTGAGGGTTTCAAATCAACCATAGCCTCGACAGCCAAAGAAGAGAGAGAGGTCTCTGGTCGAAGGCATGGATATTGGATGGAACAAGGGGCCGGAATCACGGGAAACAAAACAGCCAGTCTGAAAAAAAAAATTGGGCTCCCTTGAAAGCGAGGAATTTCCCACCTCGGGAGTATCTAGTCACAATATCGTCATTGGAAAATAACATCCCCGAATCCAAATCTGCGTGGACTCGGTTGTTCTTTGATTCGACCAGACAAAACCTTTTAACGTTGGTGGATAAAGGTCACATGACTGGCTGGCCTCAAACCTGGGTCCTTGAATCTCAAACATCTCAAGACTCTTGTGCCAATGAACCCGCATGCCGAGCCTCTTCCACGCCGCACCACCGACGGAGCCACCGTGGGGAACAGCAACAAGTGACGAGCTCCGCTGGGTCAACTGGCGTTACATGCGCTCCACCTATGATCGATCCAGCAACTCGGGAACCGTTTTCTTGTCGGTCTGTGACATCCCTGAAACGTCAAGAATCTCAGCGTCAAAATCGAGTATCCAGAGATGAGGAGGCACTGTATTTGTCTTCATTACTATCCCAGTATAGCTTAGAGTCTTGCTTCACCTGTGTCAAGAATGGGTGGGAACCAGGTCTTCATTTGCAGGATTTCCGTTCGGGATCTCAACTGGAAACTGAGCAATGCTATATAAGAACCAGTGTTGTCCATAACTGGTTTCCATAAGGTTGACTTGAGTTTTCCAAGGTTGCAGCCATTTTACGTCCGATTCTTCAATTATCTCATTCTTATTTGTTTGCATTGGATTTCCTTTTGTTTTCTGCATATACCCTCTGGAAGGGAATGACGCTAAGATTCAACCGAATTTCTGTAAATAATTAATTCACCCGTTCACGCTTAAATACATACATACATATAGACATATATATGATATCCATATACCTAACCATCAGCCCGTCATGAAATCTTACCTATTCTTCACGGCATTCCTCTTCACCCTCGGCACATCCCAGCAGTTTCCCATCCCAGCAGACCTAGCCGCAGGATTCTCCTCCTCCGGCACACAGGGCCTCCAAGTAAGTTTCGGAGGCGATGCATCTGAGGGCATCACAAATGGCGAAACAGTCAATCTAGAAGGTTAGCTTTCTGCCTCAGCTTCTTGTCATAATGCAATTGCCATTTCACTGACATCTGCATAGATGCCCGCAATCCACCAACCTTTGCTCTAGGCGACAGCTCCGGCGTCAACCGTGCAATCTCATACACCATATTAATGCTTGACACGACCGACAACAATGCCCGGAAGGTGCAATTTCTCCAATCCGGCTTCCGGGCCACTGGCGACAAGACTAAGCTAGAGACTCAGGAGGTACCTATCATCCCATACGAGGCGCCGTCTCCTGATGCTGGGCCACGCCAGTTTTCATTCCTTCTGTATCAACATCAGGGCCAGCAGCCGGCGCAGTTGAAGGCGGAATCAAACGGCGATGCCGGTCCGTTTGATGTCAAGGCTTTCGAGAGCGCGAATAACTTGAAACCGGCCCGGGCGGGGATCGCGCTGTTGGTTCGAGATAGCAACTATGGGCAGAGTCAGGATTCTCCGACCTCGGAATCAAAATCAAACTCAGTACCGCCTGCCACGGGAGACCCTTCTACCTCTACCTCTGCTTCTATCTTTGTTTCTGTTCTTACCACAAACTCCACGTCCACACCCACCAGCAGCAGCGCGACCACAACAAGAGGTGCGCTTTTGCAATCCTTGTTTCCCCTTTCCGCTTCAAATTTTATCAAAACTGCCCTGTCTACGTCTTCCTCTGCGTCGACCGTCTCTGCCTCTCCCTCGAACTCGTCTCTCTCCTCCTCTCCCTCGGTTTCCACCCAATCCTCCCATTCAAGCTTACAAACGCAGACGACAACCGTAGTAGTTACAGCGATCACAGCAACCACCTCTGGCGCAACTGCGGGAGCTGTATCAAGAACTGCTGTGGCAATTAGCAGTAATGAATCTGTCGCAGACGCATTGTATGATTCCATGTACAGCGGCGTGGTTTTGGCAACGGTGGTACTGCTTGTGCAGGCCGCGTGGTATACTTTGGTGTTATAATGGTGCGGGAGTTTGAATGGGGTTGAGCGCGGAAGACTTTCTGTGTGGTTCGTTTTGGATATTTTCGAGATCTGGCTAGCTGGCTACCGTGTACAGTATATAGGAGTCGATTTCTTTCTAGATTTTTCTTTTCTTTTCTTGTTCTGCCGGTACATAGCTTTGTCTGGCTGTTCGTAGATATGTTTGTCGTAACTTTCTTTTCAGGATTTGTTTTACACCAGATGAAGGAGTTCAATAGGCGTTCACGGGGCTCTAATTGGCCCCATTTTGTTTGCATTGATCTGATTCCAGAAAATGCAAAGATTGAAATGAGAAATGTGAACTTTATGTGGTTATACAATAATATGTGTATTATACCTGGTTTTTCTAAATGAAAGTTTTTAAAACAATACTATGTTCAGGAACAACAGTGTTCCTTCTTAGCACAACAAATCTATATACACATATGCCTCCTCCCTTCTCTTTCTTTCAACCAATTTATCTATACCAACCAACCAAACATGTATAATATTACGATTCTTGTTTTTAAAAGTCAACCTTCTTCTTAACATACAAATCCACATATTTATCAACATCCGTACTCTCGAGTGTTTTCTGGTCCAAACCAAGCTTAACAAGCTCCTCAACCTTCGCATTATCATAATGTGCATCAAGGTGTCTCTTGTACTTAGCGAGTATCTCAGGCTTAGCCTCCTCACGACGCAGGCGGTGTCCAAGTGGCGCAGCGACCTCAACCTCTTTGAGGACGGTGCCGTCATTAAGAGTGACGGTGAGCGCGTTGGGGATGGTGCGGAGGGATGGGTCATGGTAGTCCTTGGTCATCTGCGGGTCTTCGACGCACTTGATGCGCTTACGGAGGGACTCGACGAGCTCTGAGGTGGCCGCTTCGGAGCCGTCGGTGTAGTCGGTTGCGACGAGGCGATTGAAGACGAGCATGGTGGCAACCATGTACTGTTTTGCCGGGTTGGGCTGGTTAGTATGTCCTTAGAATGGAAGGGAAAGGGTTGGGGCGAGTTGGGACGAACCTGGATACAGTGGTCGCGGTCAGCGAAGTTGTCCATGGGCTTGAATTGTTTGTCGATGATGCGGACACAAGCCTCGTGGGTGCGGATTGTCACATCCTTGATGTCCTTGGCGGACTTGCCCATGCCGGCCAGGGTCTTGTTGATGTTCTTGGCAGCCTCAATGGCGGTTTGCGAGTGGAATTCAGCTGTTAGAAGTGGTCAGCTAATGATGGCATTGAGGGAGGCAATTAAGGGGGTGTGAAATCTTACCAGGATAGGAGACCTTGAAGAGCACGTTCTCCATCACGTAGCTGCCATAGGGGCGCTGGAACTTGAATTTGTTGCCATTGAACAGCACATCGTAGAAGCCCCAGACTGGAGCAGAGAGGACGGTTGGAACACCGGGCTCGCCCTTCATGACTTTGAGGGCAAGGTTAACAGCACGCTGGCAAGCGTCACCAGCAGCCCAGGACTTTCTGGACATGGTGTTGGGGGAATGTCTGTAGGTTCGCAAGCTCTGGCCATCAACCCAGGCCTGGGTGATGGCATCAGCGGTCTGCTTCTCGTTCAAACCAAGCATCTTGGACACAACCGCAGTGGTAGCGACCTTGACCAAAACCACGTGATCAAGACCGACTTTGTTGTACGAGTTCTCAAGGGCGAGCACACCCTGGATCTCATGGGCCTTGATCATACCCTCGAGCACATCACGGACAGTGAGGACCTTGCCGTTACCCAGGGATCCACCAGCGCGGTTTGTCCGCGAGATCCAGTCCGCAACGGCGAGAATGCCTCCCAAGTTGTCGGAGGGATGGCCCCACTCCGCAGCCAGCCAGCAGTCGTTGTAGTCCAACCAGCGGATCATGGCGCCGATGTTGAAAGCACCGTTGACGGGATCAAGCTGGTATGGAGTTCCGGGAACTTTGCAGCCATTGGGGACGATGGTGCCCTCAACAATGGGTCCGAGGAGTTTTGTGCACTCCTTGAATTTCAAAGCCTCCAAACCACATCCCAGGGTATCGAGGAAAACCCATCTGGCGGTATCAAACTATGGAGACAAAGGTCGATTTAGTAAATGTAGAAAAGTTTGCAATAAAAATAATAAACAAAAATAGAAATAAGAAATAAGAAATATGATTTCAGGATATGTCCATTTACATACTGCAAGGTCAGAGTTGATATTGTAGTTGTGAATGTAGTTGGCCATAGCGGCAATTTCGGAGTCATATTCACGAGGCTCCGTAGGAGCAGGGGCCGCAGAGTTGAGGGCAGACATTGTGGAAAACGCAGATCTGGACACTGTAGATTTGGGCTGTAAGAGTTTACTGGAGAAAGCAGATTTGGAGGAAGTGGACCGCAGAGACGATGCAGCAACAGAAGAGGATGCCAGTTGACGCAGAGGAAGAGATCGTGGGGCGCGGGACGACAGCTGTCGGAGGGTTTGGCGAGCAACAGACATGGTTGGTGGATGGAGAAAAGAAACTTCCTCTGTTGCTTTTCTGTCTACAACGCTTAGCAACAAGACACAGACAGCAAATTAAGCTGAATTTGGCTTGGGGAGAAAGCAATTGAGCAGCGCCTACTGACTTTCGATGTTGCTTGTCTCGAACGATGTGATGTTCGAAAATGCAAATGTTTACCCTCCGAACGTTGGGGAAGTATAAAGAACGGTTCGTGGTTGACTAAGCCTCGAACCGAGGATACACTGACACCGGACCGCAACCAGCCGGTATGGTATGCAGATTACGCCACGTATTGAGTTTTTGTATGGGGCTTTTGGTGAACTTGGTGCAGTACTGCCGTAATTACGTGTTTCGGTGGTCACGGGGCTCGGTTCTAGAACGTAAGTTTCTATTGCGATTTGTTTATCTTATCTGATCATCAGCAACAAACAACACCCAGTAAAACTCCATACTGCATTGAGCAATCAGGACAAAGACTTCGCGAAAGATTCAACTTGCGAATAGAGTACCCTTACACGGAAAATTGATTCCTCGCAATTGTGTTACATTTTCAGAGTACCGAGTAATTGCTACGTTATGATTTTTTCATTAATCTCAGGTTATCTAGCCTTGAACATTGATTTAAGGAGAGAGAGCACTGAACCTGAAAATATTTCAAAACTATCTTAGCAAACAATCATGAATAAGGTGGTCAAATTATTCATTCAATGTCTGAATTGTCAAAGCAAATGGCTGATGCTGTTCTTTGTCTAATGGGATGTTTTGTCTTTTTTTGCATACTTCCATTGTTTAGAGAGAGCATTCTCTGTCTTTCTCTTTTTTCTTCACCAGACAAATCATGTACACATTGATGGGGATGCTATCTCATTCATATTGGTTCTCTTGTTGCTATTTGCACACATTGATCTTTTTAAGTTTCATATTTCACGTAGTTATTCCCCACTCTGATTACATGTCATCATACATTTGAGAAATCTTGCAATCTATACGCTCAAGCACGCACTTACAATCAGTCGACGCGGTGTACACAAATACCCACACGTCATTGCGCGGGATGGACGCACTATCTGCCACCCCAAGATACAAAGGCGAATGCCAAATAGACTTCCAGATAGTTTCCACGACCCTACGACATTTTTCCCGCCAACCCCATTCCTCCTTCGTGAACCTGTCGATGGTCGCTGCAAAGTATGTTGCAATTACAATCTGTGCAACTGCACCCTTGCGCTTTGCGCTTTGATGAGACACCCCTTCTCGAGCTACGGGACTATCCAGATCGCGGCATCGGTGTGCGTGCCCGTTCGCGATAGTACGTACGCGCTACATCAGGTCGTCAGGAAGCGGTCGATATGCATCATCAATGCGGCGATATAAGGGAATTGGACGAGGTATATGAACCACTCGTGCCGGCCTAGCGTATTATTTGTATCTTGTTTGGTGGGATGGCACGCGTGTATGCCTGTTACGGCTATCAGGGATATTGGGATGTTTGAGGAGGTTACAGTCGATTATGGGGATGCGTATTTCGGGTAAAGGGCCGGGTGTGCAAAATGTGGGGAGGAGGCGTGTCGGTCTAATAAAAGCCGGTGTAGGAAGATTAGGGCGGGGCATTGTGGTGTCAATTCCCTGAGCAAAGAGGATGGGGCCTTTTTCGAACCGATGTATAGGAGGTTGTGTGCTGGCAGCAGTCCTTTTTTGGGGGAAATATATAAATCGGCTATAAACAGATACGTCCTAAAGGTGGGTTTTAGGTCATTTAAAAATGTAAAGCGAGGGCCTGTGGATTCCCCGTTGTGGATAGTTTTGTTTTGCCTCTTTGGGTAACTATGGCCTCTTGATGCGCTGTCTCGTAAACTCCGCCCTTGTCGTTGATCTAGAGTAGGTACACAAGAACCACCCCCTCGCTATTCTGACCATCCTCTCTCCAACTTCCTCTACCATAACGCCCCTCTCTTTATCCATAGGATATTGCGACTGCAACCCCCCCCCCCCCCCCCCCCCCCCCCCGCAGGTCTCCACTTTGCAGTTTCATTTCCAACCATCAGCCTTGACCGGTTGATGAGCTGACTCAGCTGACTATGTCCCTTTTTCTTTGCTTCCAGTGATTTCCCTCACTTCAGCAGTTTAAGAAAGGATGTCCCATTAACTCACAGCAAGTTTGTCTGTCTTCAGAAAGCCAGGCAAGCATCTGGCTGAAGATTTGCCTCTCCTCCCCTTCTAAAAATTGGACTGAATCTTTCGAGTTTCGAGAGGATATTAGATCATCAGAAAGGAATTCTCTTGCCCGAACGAATGAGACAGCAAAACATAATGGTGCTTATTGGATGTTTCCGCACCAACCCACCTTCATGGGGGAAAAAAAGCCCATTAAAGAACTCTCGCCTGTTCCTGCAGAGCTTGCCGCCTCGTTTCTGATAGAATTGGGCCATTTAAACTCTGTCATGGCAGCAGATTTTGCAAGTAATTCCTTGGGAGGTGGGCCAAGCAATGCGATCATTTCCACTATGTGTGCTTTGCCATTATAAAGCCCTTTAGCATCATTTACCTGACGGTATTGGTCTGGTTGAATTGGGTGAAGACCAACTTCACTCTTCCCCATCTTTTCTTGGCCGTCGTTCTTGAGGGAAGTCGCCAACCCAAGATTTATGATTTTAGGCTTCATTTTCCTCAGTTCTCTACGAATTTGTTATGACAGCGATAGATAATACATCGTCCTGTCGTTGGGTTGGTTTTGCGTTGCATTGCATGGGCAGCCGATGGATCTGTTCTTTGAGAAAGTTGGGGAGAAAGTCTTCATTCTCGAAGGTCATCAGAATATGGCCAATTGGCCGTACTGAAGTCATAGAGTTACGCTGAAGGAAAATATAACAGCAAACATTTGTTGAGCATGGGAAGAGACTAAATAATAAAACGATTTGGGCCGTGTCGAGCCTATATTTGTAGCAGTGGAACTTTTGGGGGGCAGTAAAGCAAAAAGGGAGCTTTTATGTCCGCGAAGCCGCGGTTACAGTTGAATGTGGGTTTTTAAAAGTTGTGCTCTACTTTTTCTAAAAGATGTCAACTCTAAAATAAACACCCCTAAAACGTTGGTGGTGAGGTTGAATAGAGATGTAGTTGTAATATGTATGTATATTCGGGGTTAGGATTAGGTTAAGATTAGGATTAGGGTTAGTCGAGGGTTAGGGTCTGACCAAACCACTAGTTATAAGCGAAAGAGATGCCCCGCAGAGAGTCAAAGTTAATAACCTAATTAACTACTTTAACTACATCCATTGCAAAGTATAACCGAGCTAATTTTCACTTTTAAATAACTATTACTTCCAAAGCATGATCATCCTTTTATTTGTCAGATTATCATGAAGACAAAATAGTTTCCATGTGTCCACATGTCAACTGTGCATTCCTCCTCATCTTGACTAATTATGCTTCTATGATAACTTGGAGTCACTGTTGATTATTTGGAATTGCTGTCTTTGACCAGTCTACACGTACTCCAGCAGTTCTGACCAAAATAATAATAATAATAATAATAATAATAATAATAATAATAATAATAATAATAATAATAATAATAATAATAATAATGAAAAGAGGAGAAAAGAAATAATTAATAAAATAAAATATATAAATGCAATGATCTAAGGTATTCAATAGCGGAATGAACATGTTGCACAAAGTTATCGATAAATTGTCGCTATGCAAGCTGCTGACTGCGTTCCATATGGATCTGCATTGAGTCTGAGTTGTAACTATGTATGAGCACTAGGGCAAGAGAAAGGTCTTCGAGGCAATTCGCCCCTAACAGCCTGCCAGGTCTAAAGTTATGACCAGCTGTTGAGATATTTAACTAGTTAGTTAAATATGGTTGTTCATGTAATAACTTAGCTCTATTGCACTTGTAGCGATCAGGGTAAATTCACCAGACACAAAGCAGTGGCAAAACCACCGTGTGATTCTTGAAGAAAAACGCCAGTTCTATTCTACGGTGACCATAAATGCTACGTTCAATACTTAGTTGGGACGGATGAGAAAACGATCCTGCTCTCAACCTATAGTCCCATGACGTCCCCTCTGTTCCGGGATGCTGCACAGTGGAAGTGGGTTCGTACTTGTTGAATTGTTGAAGTATTGAAACGAGGCGATTAAATCGTCGTCTGTAAAAAGAGAATGACCGACCACGGTGCGACTCGAACGCACAATCTTTGGTGCCGAAAACCAACGCCTTGACCATTAGGCCACGTGGCCTTCCTTGAATCTGGAAGAGTTCCAGCATTCCTCCACAAATATACTAGGGAATGTATTTTTCACTTTTAACCATCGGGGATGGGTTTACAAAATGGAAGTAGATCGAACAGGAGAACCGAATGGCTAGATAGCAGACGATAAATCGCAACAGCATATGTTTAACAGATTAAGAGAATGTATGCACAAGGTACAAAATCTATACCAATGACCCAAGGACATGAAGCAAATATCCACGTCTTTCCAAGTGCCAAATCATTACCGATTGATCGATTGAAATGGAGTTGGCTCTGGAGAGCAAAGCGTAAACACACATCCTTTACTTGATCCATGTATGATGTCATCCTCAGGGACCTACCTCGACCTACCTCGAGAGATATAGACAATCACAACAACTCCACCACCTCCTTGACATTTTTACAACCACCAGAAACACCAACCCCGACCGCAACCCCATCAGCCCTTTCCAACGCCCTTCTAACTTCCTCAAAAATCGCTTTCCCAAGCATAGGCGGCACCGCATTCCCAATCTGCCTCTTGACATTCTTCCCAAAAAACCTATGCTCCAGCGGAAACGTCTGTAAACAAGCAAACTCGCGATATGTAAAGGACCGCGTGCCGCTGGGGTGGTAGTTGTTTTTACCGCCCCCGTTGCAGGTTATTGTCCTTGCCTGGCTGTATGGGTTGTAGGCTGGTTTAGAGAGCTGACGCCTGCTCACGTGGTCAATGTTATGGTCTGCAGTGTAAAGAGGGA